GTGGACTCATGTCCTAAAGAACCAACTCCCAACTCCCCAGGTCTTGTTTGGAGATAATATAGAGAAAAGAGAAAGGAGCTACATGCTGGAGAGAGGGTAGTATTCTATTTTCAGAGATGATTATCATGATCATTGGTGCCAAAGTTTCGTCACGTCTTGCTTATGATTGGAACATCATTTTGCCATGAGTCTCTGGTTAGTTATCTCTAAAAAATAAGGAGCAAGTGTTAAAGCAAAATAGAACAACTAATCTTCCATTTCAATATGTATCATTAGCTTATTCTTCTGTAAATTAAGTTAAAGTTGAAGGGGAACTAGGGCAGGAGTCAGGCTTAGCATACTTGAAGCTGAAATTCCTCAGTTACAATAGGATCTCATGCTTTTTTTTTTTTTTTTTTTTTTTATTACGCGGGCCCCCCCCTTTTTTGCCCTTCCCATTTCAGAGCACAGGCTCCAGATGCTCAGGCTCAGCGGCCATGGCTCACGGGCCCAGCCGCTCCGCGGCATGTGGGATCTTCCCAGACCGGGGCAAGAACCTGTGTCCCCTGCATTGGCAGGTGGACTCCCAACCACTCTGCCACCAGGGAAGCCCCCTCTCATGCATTTTTTATGAGATGTCAGGATTCATTTAAATATCATACAGCTAATTCTGAGTTGTGATTATGATTCCTACAATCACCTATTATTCTGGAGCAGGGGTCCAAACCCTGGGTGATTCCCATCTTCAGAGGAAAAACGCCACCCAGGGCTAAAACAGAATGAGAAGTGATTTTGATGTTGGTTACCAGGAGTAGAAACTAAGTGCAGAAGCTGAGTGAAAGCTCCCTGGGGATGGCCTGAGGCTGCTTCCCCGAACAGGCTAGATTCAGCACATCACTTGCCCTCTCCTCTAACTTCATTCACCAGTGGTGTAGCTGTGAAGGTGTCTCCTTCATGAGAAGGAGACTTCATGAGAACGGGGTCCAAGTCTTTATCTTGATGTCTCCTAGAGCTTAGAATAGTGCCTGTCACTCAACAGGAGTTTATTAAGATGAATAAATGGGATTTCTAGTGACTTTTTTTTTAAGCACAAGGCATAAGAGCAGTCAAATAGACTTCTGGATGGTCTTGACAGCTGGATCTGTTTAATAACTTACATGTTTCTTAGCAATATTTTGTAGAGGTGTCTTTTTTTTTTTTTTTCCTCCAATTTGTTTTCCATGTCAGGAAGAGAGACTATTTGTTCTATACTGTTTGTTTTAAAAGTAATACCTTAAGATTCTCTTGGCTGGAAGGTATTGCAGTAATATCTGTTTAGTAAGAAGGGTGAAGGATGCCCTACTTCAGCCATCAATAATGCCAAATTTTAAAGAGAATTTTGGATTATATTTGTCTGTTGCAATGTTCAACAAACTTTACTTTCTTTTGGGAATAGATTATTCAACAGAAAAGTTTGTGTTCCTTAATAGGATAGAGATCATTAAAAGTTTGTATTTATAAAATGCTTCAGGGTCTTAGGCAGACCCTACATGGCCTTCTTATCTATAGAAAAAAGTAGTTGTAACTGGAGGCTAGACTCTCCCCTTCTCCCACCCCCAATCCTGTGTTGGTAACTCACTTGGTCTTCATCATCCAAGACTGAGGCCTATTTTTTGACCAGGTGCCATGATTTTCTATTCCAATGAGGATGGTTTCTATAGAAATTGTTCTAAATACATGTGCTCTTTGAGTATATATGCAGTTACTAAGCAGATGGCTGAAGCATGCTATTATAATGCATGACTGTTCTGCTTTTTGTTAAGTAAAACTTGCCTTCTATCAATATAAGGAATAGTCTATAATGCCAACAATTACTAAGAAAACAAGGGAAAGAAAATGAGTACAGAAAAGTTCCCAATAAGACACAGAACAAAATAGCAAAATAATGGATTAATTTCATTGGTTCTCATTGTAAAATGACTCAAGGAAGAAATCAAGTAGGACAAAGGATAGGGGCTGAAGTATTTCCTCTCCCAAATCTGACTGTACCAACATGTGTGAATATTGCTTTATGTTTGGGGGAGGGAATGAGAAAAAATAACAGAGGGAGAAGGACAGAATGAGATATAGGAAAAGAGCTTCCTTATTGTTTGAATCCACTTAGAATAAACTGATCAAACCACTGACAAGGGATGGATCGTGGAGATGAGTGTGGTCTCTAGGATTTGTTAAGGCTCCCCTATTCAGTAAGGAATAGGAATTAGGATTTTATATATATATATATGATGATATATATATGCATATACATATATTTATGTAATTATATAAAATCTTTGTTCCTATTCCCTACTGAATAGCATCAAAACATCTTAATTCAAGATCTCTGATGATCGACAAAGGGGAGGAGAGATGAATCTGAATGTAGAAAGTAGAATAGTGGTTACCAGGGATTGGGGGTTGGGGTAGGGAATGAGGAATTATTGTTTAATGGGAACAGAGTTTCAGTTTGACAAAACGAAAAAAAGTTCTGTGGATTGATAGTGGTGATGGTTGCACAGCAATGTAAATGTAATGCTACTCACTAAACTGTACACTTAAAAATAATTAAAATGGTAAATTAAAAATATCTCATGATCTAGACTGAACCTACTTTTCTAGTCTTATTTGCCTTTATTCTCATGTATGTTATTTACCAAACTGAGTAACAATAGTGTTCACAGGTATAACATTTATTAAGTATTTGCCTGACACAGAGCTTTACATGCTGAATTTAATTGTAATTTTCATGAGAACCCTGTGAAATAAATACTATTTTGATCCATATTTTGCTGGTAGGGGACTGAGCCTTCGAGAGGTCCTGTAACCCCGGCTTGGACCCAGGTCCCACAGCCAGTGGGTGATCTGACTCCCTGGTTCCCTGCTCTGTGGCTACCCCTGCTGCTTACTGCCGTTCTGATAGGTGCCTTCACCTGAGCTTTTCTCTCTGCCTGAAATAAGGGCTATTCCGCTACTCTTCTAAGTGAGTCCAAATGCCACTTTATCCTTGAATTACTTACCCCAGGTGACTATGATCTCACAACCCTCCAAAAATTCCTCTAAGTCTTTGCTACTCTGAGTGTCACAGACCAGCAGCTGGGTGCCACCGGGAGCTCGAGGGAAATGTTGAATCTGAGGCCACACCCAAGATCTCCGCAATCAAAAACTGTATTTAGGGTCTTCCCTGGTGGCGCAGAGGTTGAGAGTCTGCCTGCCAATTCAGGGGACACGGGTTCGTGCCCCGGTCGGGGAAGATCCCACATGCCGCGGAGCGGCTGGGCCCGTGAGCCATGGCCGCTGAGCCTGCGCGTCCGGAGCCTGTGCTCCGCAACGGGAGAGGCCACAACAGTGAGAGGCCCGCGTACCGCAAAAAAACCAAAAGACAAAAAACTGCATTTAAAAAAAAATATTTTATGCATTTAAGAAAAATTATTTACAGTTGATTTACAATATTGTGTTAATTTCTGCTGTACACAAAGTGATTCAGTTATACATGTACCTAACAATACATTCTTTTTCAGATTCTTTTCCATTATGGTTTATCACAGGATATTTAAGAAACTGCATTTTAAGATCTCCAGGTGGCTTATGTATAAACTTTGAGAACTGCAGGATGGGAATTTTTCTCTTCTTTTTTGCTTTGCATCTCTGTACTTGTACACCTGTTTTATATTCCCAATTGGACTGTAAGCTCTTTAAGGGCAGGAGGGTATTATAGTCTCTTGAATATCCATAAATATACATAGCATAGAAGAAGGCACATAATTTGTTCTCTGATGTAACATAGCACTCACATTAAAAAATTTAGATCGGGCTTCCCTGGTGGCGTAGTGGTTGAGAGTCCGCCTGCCGATGCAGGGGACACGGGTTCGCGCCCTGGTCCGGGAAGATCCCACATGCCGCGGAGTGGCTGGGCCCGTGAGCCATGGCCGCTGAGCCTGCACGTCCGGAGCCTGTGCTCCGCAATGGGAGAGGCCACAACAGTGAGAGGCCCGCGTACCGCAAAAAAAAAAAAAAAAGTTTAGATCATTTACTAGGTCAGAAAGTACTGGGTTATTTGGAATAGTTTTTCCCAGTGTGCTAACAGTATCACTTTTGACAATTGGTTCACTTGTAATGTTTCCAAGAATTCAGGCTTCTGATAATGGTGAAAATGTTAAGAGGTATAATCTAGGTCCCTAAAATAAAACCTTCATTCCTTCCCAGAGCCTTTGGTCTATAACCAGCCCTTGTGACACAACGTCTTTCATCACCAAAGCACAAATATAGATATTACAGATTTGGAGAAAAATCAACACTTAGAAAATGGAAGTGCGAAAGCTGAAGACTCCAATCAATTTCACATGTAAAGCTTTGACGTTTGTCTATAGTCAGGAAACTCACTGTCTTCCAGGAACATTGGAATGGAATTTAGTTTTGACAAATATTTGATTCCAAGCTCTATTTTAGAGCAAATTTAGTTAATAGCAAAACTTCAGTCACTAGAGACACTCCTGTACCATTGCTCGCTAGGTACATGCCAAGGACCACTAATTAAAGCTATTGATTTTTGAAGGGATGACTGTGTGTTTTCTCATTCTTTATTTAGACCCAGTGTTTGCATGTATTTGTACCTCTAAATGTTCCCAGTGAGTGTGACCAACTGATTGCTGGGATTGTCAGCTGTGCGGGTCCTTCGATCAGCTTCTTGTTGCTGTACAATCTGGCTTCTCTGTTCTTTTTGCAGAATGTTTAATTGGACTACATGCATAAAAAGAAAAGAGGGGAAACACATATAGGTGGTAATTCTTCTTTTACTTCTACTGGCTCCATTTCAGCAGTCAATCTGACCTCTCCTGAAGTTTCAAATCTAAAAATTGTCTGAACATAAATCTACTCTTTGGAGCTGACAAAACCCTTTCGTTCAGGGAGGATTCCTCGTTACCTCTTTTTTAGAATTCTTTTTTTCCCTGCGAGTGTGTGTGTTGTTTCAGGGAGTGGCTCCCTTCCCACCTCACTCATTGGTTTGCTCACGCCCTTATGGGATGAATCAATGCTTCCAGAAAGCCGGGGGCTTCCGAGGGACTGCGGGAACAATTACTTCCAAATGATCTCGTGCATCTTAGCAGGGAGCATTCAGACCACACCCCAGGTAAAAGGAAATCTTTCCTTCATGCTTTTGAGAACTTTGAAAGGCTATGCACTCTGGTGTTTACTGCAAGAGGGTTTGAGGGAGAGATGCCAGGGTGTAGATAAATTTGACTATATCAAAATGAAATGTTATAGGCAGTTAGTGGAAAGGATGAGCAGATAAAGGCAAAACTGCTTACTGGCAACCAAAGAAGATGCTCAGGACAGTCCTTGGCGCAGTGTAAATGCTGAGAGACACCCTGTCATGTCTCTTCTCAACAAGAAGCTAGTGGCCATCTGTGAGTGTGGGTGTCAACGTCAGAAGGAAGAGAACTTCTAGGGAAATAGAAGAAAGGAAGGCACTGGAGCCTGAAACTGAGCAAAGAAGCAGTGAGCCTGCATGGCACGGGGGGAAAACAGTTTCTTAAATTATTAGTCGAGTGGCCAGTGAGAAGGTGACAGTCTCAGAGTTTCGAGCACTTGAAACTATACTTAGGAAAATATTTTCATCCTTTCGCTCTAATTTTTATTATTAAACTAGTTTCTCAAGGATAGGAACTAAAATGCGTTTTTAAACAACACTGACAATGGAAAGTGTTAACTGGCATTTAACCAATGCAATGATATTAACATGCATCTGGTTCTGCTTTGTGTGGAAAATGATTTTTCATCACCATAGCAATTCATTTCTGGGCTCCATTGGAACTGGGCTATGGTATGCAGTAAACAGCAAAATTTTTCTTTTTCTTTCCTGAATAAGGGATTCAGCAGTCCACCGGCTAACACGGGGCTCTTCATCTAAATGTTGTATAGAGTAGCTAGTATAATTTCAAATCCTTTTCCAACTAAATTTTGTGCAAAAAATTCTGTACATCCTTGTTAGGATAAGACGATGCTAGGTAAAAGTGATAAAAAGAGCCTCATGCTAACAATGTACTCTCAGCTTAAAAGTGAATACCAAACCATTGCCCTTTTTGTGGTTAATCTGAGGATAGGAATTTATCCCTGATCTTGTTCTCTGACAGTAAACTAGGAAGATGAAAAGTCTTTAGTACTGTTGGATTTTCCATTTTTAATGTTATTCTTGATGACATTATATGTTGGCTCAACTAAAATTAAAAACAAACTGTTCTCCTTACCTGGTGAAGAAATTTTATGCAGGCTATGGATGTTCCTGTAAGAAAATATAACAATAAAAAAGAAGGAAACAGTTTTACTTATTTTTGGTTGCTTTCATTGTCAACATTTGGTTATGTTTAGAAATTCCTTTGAGGATATGTTCTAAAAGCACACCTCATTCATTGAAGCATCCATTTTTATTCATACTTTGTTTCAATTTTATTCACTAAAATTGTAACTATTAACCTTTAAAAAGTCAATAGTTCACAATGTATCGGTAGTGACAATCTATTTGTATTTTAGAGACTTTAGTAGCAAGCTAAAGTAAAGAAGTAAATTTTTGGAGAAATAAATCTTGGTCACTGTATATGCTTTAGAAGGCAAAGCCACTTACTGTTAATAACGGTTATATGTATTTTGTAACCACAGGGCACTTATACTGAAGTGCATACCTCAGTATTTAAATTTCATCTGGATAGAACATAAGATAGACCTGTAGTCATCATGTGGGGAGATGAGGGCAGGCCTATAGCACCTGAGGACAAAGTCACACTTTCACCTCTTTTTTGACTCCTAAAAGACTATCTTTATTTCCTACCCAAATGAAACTCTATGATAAATTATCTGAACTACCCTCAGTGATTTTCTTGTTAAAACCCCTCTCCACCCATCAAGATATTGATGAGATTAGTCATGTAAAGAAGGCTTCCTAGAAAATAATCCATCTAGAAAGTGTGTTGTATTGTGTATCACTGATAAGACTAGTGGGTTCCCTGAATCTCATGAGGGATCTAATGTCCCTTCCTACAAAGGAAAGCATTGATTTATTATTTTTGGATGATAAGCCTGGGAATTGCGACCTGAATGCCATGGGGGAATAGACAATTATTTTTAAAGGTGGAAAATAATATTGAAAAATGAAAGTTGGCTCAGAAGGGTTTGTCTGTGTATTTTTTATGCCCTAAGGAATAGATATTGTTTCTAGAAACCCTAACCTTACCCTACTCTGTTATAAGCCTAGACCTTATAATCATCTAGTCTTACCACCCTACTAAATCCTAAGCTCTCATAACCCATACTGTGACCCTGGGCCATTCTCCCCAACACCCACCATGCTTTCAAATCTGATTCCTGAACCAAAGAGACCACTAGTCCCTTAGTCTGAAGTCCCTCTTCTTCCCTGTCCACGTTGAACTTCATGGTTGACCTTTTGCTCTTCTCCCATCAGTACCCTCAGTTTCCTGACACTCACAACATTCTTCTTCCAGAGCCACCTCTGAACATCAGTTCTATAAATGCTGCGATTCACTTTCTCTGTTCCTATGATAGGCAGTTGAGCATTCCTGGAGACATTGTCAAAAAGCCAAGCAAATTGCTTTTACTACAAATTCACAGATTTACATTTAGGCTGGGCCCTCACAATAGTCTGTCAATCCTTTTACTTATTTATAGTCAGGCTTCTTTCTCACTACATCATCCTACATCAATGGTGTTCCAGGATTTTCCATTTCTCTTAAAATCCTGTGTCACCTTTGCTACTTCTTCCTCAGCTACTGGACCACTTAATGGTAGAGCTGGATGGTTCAACATTGGACCTCTTCTTTTCTTATTTGTGCTGACTCCCCTGATGATCTCATCTGGTCTCATAGTTTTCAATACCATGTAGAGGTCAACAACTGTAATAATTTTATCTCCAGGACAGACTTTCCTCTGAACTTTTCTCCCATCCCCACATTTCCACTTGGATATATATTTGTCATATCATATTTGATCTTTATTTTCAAACCAGCTTCACCTCTTGTTTTCCCTGTTTCAGTGAAGAATATCTTATTTCTTTCAGTTATTCAGGTCAAAAATTTTGTACTTGTGTTGACTCTTGTCTGCCTCTTATATCGCACATCTAATTTTTCAGCAAATTCTAAGTTTTTCCTTTAGAATCCAGCCAACCCAAGTTTTACCTATCATTTTCTCTCCTATGGGTTATTATACTAGTCTTCACAGCACTTATCACAATTGAAAATCCTATTTTATTGCATATTTATTTGGTTTCCTGTCTCCCTCCCACCAGAATGGGTAACAGGTTTTTGTTCACTGTGTGTCGTCAACCCCTAGAATAGAGCCTAGCATCTGGTAGGCATTTAATAAGATCTTGTTGAGTAAATGAAAGTAAGTAGAAGGCAACGTATTCAAGTGAGGTTTGGTTTAAGTAGGAGCGTAGTAGCAGGACTGATGGCTATGTAAAAGGACAAAGATGTAGGTGGGTGACTAGATGTGGTGATGAGGGTTTTGGAAGTTCTCTTCGGATTGCTTCAACTATCTCAGTGAAGTGGGAAACAAAGTTGTCAGCTCAGAGTGAGAATGAGGAAGAAGATGTAGGGGTTTGAAGAAAGAGGAGAAGGTGTGAGTTTTCTAGCGAGTGGGAGAGTAAATGGCCTCTGGAACTGTATAGTATAATTACAGAGAAGAATTAAAGTGCCAGATTGAGGCTCAGGGTCATAAATTTGAAGTGAAACCAGCAAGCGGGGTCATGTGATTTTTTTCTGTGACCACATTTACCCTTGTGGTGCAGGAGGAGAGTAGGTAGGTGGTAGACTGAGTGACCACTATGATTTACCCGAAGTGGATGGTGATGTGAGAGAAGGTAAGGTATTTGAAGGGCATGCACAGGAGAAGTTGTGGTCAACTCGGTCATTAAGCCTGTCCGAAAAAAAAGAAGTCTGGGAAAACTTAATGTTGGAAGGATCAGTAGACTTTCATTTTGATGGTTTCCCAGAAATGTTGGAGTCCAGAATTGAAGAGATGGTGTGGAAAGAAAAGAAGTGTTGATCAGAGAAGGAAAAAACCCTGAAATTATGGTGGTGTTGTGGCTACTGGTTGTTGCTAAGGATGTGAAGGGCAAGGAAGAGTAGAGGTAGTGAAATACGCTATTAGAAAAATTACCCATGGGATAGCATATTGGGTATTATAAAAAGTGCAGTGTTAGAAGGAGTGGAATTAACCCCAGAAGTAAATCTTCAAAGAAAGAAGGGTTTGACTTGGAGGTGGGCAGATGGCTGTAACAAGAAGAGGTAGTGAATGGTGTAGACTTGTGGATGGCAGGAGCTTCAAACCTGGAAGTTTGTAGGTAAGAGGGAAGAAGAATGGTCTGGAAGCAGAAAAGAGTGCACAGAGGATACCTAGCCTACTTCTGGTGGGTCACCCAGTGTGAGAGGAAACAGAGAGCTTCTTGGGAAGCAGAGTCCTTCAGCAAGAACCATGTTTAGTTAGAGTCAGAACACGTAGAGAAGAGGTTAAGGATGTGGAGGGATGTGTGACAACTGCCTGAATTCCAGAAAGTGTATGGTGAAAAGTTTCCAAGAGTTGGATCATGGTATGTTGCTGAAACTCAGTCTCTGTTCACAAGTACTGAATAGAAACTCAGAGACAGAGTTTTGGGTGAAGTAGAAAAGACTAGCTTTTATTGCTTTGCCAGGCAAAGGGGGTCACAGTTGGCTAATGCCTGCAAAACTGTGTGTCCCGCCCTGGAGGGGGTAGTGTTCAAGGAACAGGGTGTGGTCAGCTCACGGACATTCTTCTGATTGGTTGGTGGTGAGGTAACTGGGAGTCAGCATCATCAGCCTTCTGGTTCCAACCGGTATGGGGTCTATGTGCTTATGGGCAGCAAACAGTTAACTTCCTCCACTAGGTGAGGGTTACAGTAGCTGCAAAACAGCTCAAAGGACATGGCTCAGAATATTATTCATAGTCCTTGACGAAGAACTAAATGCCCTTGACTTTGTTTAATGGCTAAAGTATTATTATTTTGTCTTGCTTGACTGTTTTCCTTTCTTTCTGCCTTTTCTCACTTCCCTGATTAAATTTATTCTTTCACTAAAGTTTTTCTACAGGCAAAAAGCAGGTGAAGGACATGGGTGGGGATCTATTCTGGGAAGGCCTCATAGGGTCCTTCTCGGTTACAGGTACAAGAAGGGAACAAAACTAGGGGTGTGCATTGCACACAGAGACACAGGGATGGCTGGGTTTCTCATGCAGCTGATGTGATCGGGTTTAAAGGGCGTGTTGAGATACGACACACAAGGGTGGCATGACCTGAAGGGAGAGGAGCCTGGGGGTTCCTGCCGGGACTATTGCATTTCTTGTGACAGAGGCATGGAGGTGGCAGTGTGGCAGCTTCCCTCTGACTAGATGGCGCTGATCGCATCATGAACATGGATTACGTACCAAATGAGTCCCCTCACCTTCCAGCTTCTCTCACTGCCTCACAGTCAGAGCTTTTCTGTATCTCCGTTAATTTTCTCCATTCTCAGAGGAGGCCATGTTCTTTCTGTTGTTGCTTGAGCTTTCGCTGCCTGCTTCCTCCAGGACTTTGCTCCACTTTCCTTCCTACTGGTTCCTTCCCCAAGTCTACAGACGTCTTCACGTCTATCCTGTTACAGACCAACAAGGGCACCTCTTTGACTGGACTTTCCTTTCTAACTACTCTCCATCTCTCTTCCTCCTTCTCACCCAAACGTCTCAAAAGAGAAATCTCCAGCACCATCTTCTCTTTCTGCCTTTCCATTTAGTCCTCCGTCTATTACTCTTGGCTTTCTGTCCTGATCGCTAGCCTTGGGTCTTATAAAACCAGCATTACCTATCTGACATGCTAATGAGACGATCTCATTCCCAATCTACAGCACATGTTTCTCAGTGTCAAAAGGACAGGACTCAAGCTTGATTCTCACCCAGTGCTGTTTTCCATGCCTTCACTCAGCTGGTTTCCTCAGTCTGGAAGACCCTTATCTTTCTCTTTACTAGGACTTAAATTCCAGGTGCTGCGTTTTATGGAGCTTCCCAGACTGGGTAGGCATCCCTTATCGCTTTTCCCTTCCTATTCTGTGCGTATGCTTTTCCGACTTGTGACTGGTCTATTGGCTGTTTCTTATTTGCTGTTATATCTCTAGCTCCTGAGTACCTGTCACACAGCAAATGCTTAACAAAATGGTTTTTGAATGAATAAAGAATGAATGAAAGAGAAGGTATATCCTCGAGAAGAGGCATTGGTATCCTGGCAGCAAGAAAAGTAAACTTTCAATTTTCAATTCACATGTTAGCATTCTCATTCATGATATATGTCAGAAGTTTCACACATGCTTGGTGATTATGATTCACACTGAACCTGCTAACCCAGAGTTAAATGGATAAAAGTCCTTGACCTCTGTGGGGTCATCACAAACACAGCATCTGGTCTGTTTTGAAATTAACTTTTATCCATGTTAACTTGCAACATTCCAGCAGCTCAACTTGCCAAGCTGCTCTTCTGTTGCCATGTCCTACAGTAGGATTTTCCTTGGGTTGTATTTCTTTCTCCGATAAATATTTTCACAAAAAAAGGGTCGGATAAACTATGAATATTTTAATAGATGTTCTCTTTGCCAACCATACACATGATCATAGGACAATAGGCAATTTATCAAAATAAATGAGATAAATATAATATGTAGAGAGTAAAGTCAAAATAAACCTTTGATAAGACTGAAAGTCTAATTTATTACGTGTCTCATAGGTCTCTTCTGGTGATTCTGAAGCCAAACCTCTGATCTTCACATTTGTCCCCACTGTCAGAAGACTACCAACCCACTCCCAGTTGGGTGACACCTCTAAATTCATTGTTAAAATTCCTGAGGAACCAAGTGATAAGACTCCAGAAACTGTAAATAGGGTAGGATTATTTTTTACTATTTTTTATATCAAGAAGTTAACATTAAATTATCCATCATAATGACTTGCAAATTTGTATGGATGTTTATTTTCTCTGCTTAAAGTGAGATAACTGGGAAATCTAAGATTGGCTAAAAATATAACTATGTAATAGGAACTTCAGTGTTATCAAATCTCAGGTTCTCTCCAATACGTTATTCTCAACCCTTTTGATTTGATATCCTTTTGTTTGCTGTTCACGTGATATATTCGGCCTCCTGACACCTCCCCTCCCAAATGTATCTTAAAATAATAAAAACAAAATATTTACAAAGTTTAAATTTATCTTTAAAGAATACTAGATAAAACAGCAAGGTGTTATTTTACGTGTAACAGATTAGCAACATTAAATAAGTGTAATATCTGAATTTGGGGCAATTGTGGGTATGTTGGCAGGCTCACACTTTGCTGCTAGTTTTGTGAATTTGTACAATTTTGGTGGAAAACCCTTATCCACAGTCATACAACTGTGTATAACCCTTTAATGTTTAAACTCTTGGAAATGCATCCCAGAGAAATAGTACAGAGGAAAAAAAAGTGTTACATAGGAAAATAATTAGAGAAAAATAAAAGGAGCCTAATATCTAACAATTAGAGAAAAGCTAAGCATATGATAATACATCACCTTGACAAAGTTATAATTATAATGGTTATGTAATTTCATGGAACATGTTAATCTTACAATATTAAGTGATACAATAGATTATAAAGTTGTATTTATACCCTGATTGTACATATCTAAAGAGACACCAAGACTGAAAAAGAAATTAAAACAGACAAAAACCTAAAAATGACTTGTGTTAAGTAGTGACATTTTGGGTAAAAAATTTTTCTCTTTAAAATGTATTTTAATACTATCTTATTATAAATAAAATGTGACTGGGGGGACTTTGTGGTATTTTTGAGCCAACTTGTAGGAGATAAAATTATCTGATTCTCGTTGTCTATATGAAAACATCTTATCTAGCAAGAAGTAATATATAACCTGGGACTTACAATGTCATCTTATTTCAAAGACTGTTGGGACCAAATTATTTCAGAGAAATTCTGAATGCCACATAAAGCACTTCTGGGAAATTTCTCCCTAACAGTACTCAAGTACACATAATATATTCATGGGATCCTTTGTGATTAGGTGCTATGAGTGTGGGACTATAGATGTATGAATCAATCTTGGTTGCATATCTCTGAAGCCTCCAAAGATAAGGATACAGATGGCAATGGTATCTACACAGCCATAAGTTTTGCTTGACCATTAACTAAACCCATGACACATCCCCATTTGTTTTGTGAATGTCTTTATGGAAAACATTGCTCTCTTCCTCTCTTTTTAAAAAGTCATACCAGGATTTATTTGAAAACAGGTTTTGCTGACTTTGATCCTGAGCCCTAAATTGTTTGGGCTTGGACCAGGACAAACAAGTGGGTTAGTAAAAGTAAACCATTAGCTTCAACCCAAATCTCTCCTATGCCAACCTGATTTTTAGATATATTCGTAAAAACTTTTGTCCTTGGGGGTTATAAGCAGATTAAGGTTTTAAGAAAGAGTACATGCAAAAAAACATTTACCAAAGCAACATCAACGCTTTTATGTCTCTACATTTATTGCAGTCTGATTCCAATGAGTACTTGACCTTGAATGTTGGGAGCCAACAGGAGAGAGACCGAGGAACATTGACTTATCCTTTAGAGGTCAAGGACAAGGCTTCCCAAGGAAGGGGATTTAAAGCAAACGAACCTCAAGGAATGCAGCAAAGTGACCTCTTCAAAGCTGAATATGTCTTTATTGTGGACTCTGAGGGGGAAGATGAAGCTCCAAGCAGACAAGGTGAACAAGGCCCCCCAGGAGGGATGGGCACCACAGCTGCTCGGCCCACGTCTCTAGCAATCTCCTCCAGTCTGGTCTCTGATGTGGTACGCCCCAAAACTCGGGGGGCAGACCTCCAGGTTCTGTCACATCCTGAAATGCCTCATGGGATGGCTCCTCAGCAAAAACATGGGCTGGTAGGTTTTTCTCCTTGTCATTAAAAAAAAAAAAATGTTTCATACCCTTTGTCTTCAAAGACCTTTCTATTTATTCAAGGCAGCAAGGTGTACAAAACTCTCAAGGAAAGAGATATTAAAAAACGAAAATCGCAAGATCATAAACCATCACAGTGTAAATATAGATAATAAATTCAAAAGAAATAAATTTCATAAGATGAAAAGGATTATATACAATTATGCTGTGAACTGGCTGAAGAGAATATGTAAAACACTTAGCTGGAGTGGATTTGGGGGAATATTAACCCTTCCTTCTGAAAATTCTTGGAGAAGGTCAGTACAGGGAATTTCTTAGGAGAGAGTTCTTGGTGGGCTGGGTGCATGAAGAAGCACATTTCAGAGATGAGAAAGATCCAGCAAAAAGACATCAACTGGATGCAGACACTTTACTTTTAAACTAGTAAAAGAGTAGTAAAAGGATACACTAGGAATTAAGAGTGTGTAAGGAAAATCATTTCCTCCTGTGTGACTTCAGGGAAATATTGACTGTATTCCTGGAAACCACCAGAAGCAGGGCTGGCCTCAGAGAATTGGGGAGAAGATCCCACCTCAAAGCTTAGCAGCAAGATTGAATGGTTCTTTTAAGGTGTCAAGGCTTTGATACAGTAGGAGAAGACTCATAGCTGTGACGGCAGGAAAGAAAGGGGGTGAAGAGGGTGGGATTTTGAAGGGAAAAAAATAGGATGACTGGCTATTTGTTGTCATGAAGTTATCAGATGACTTTGACAAGGCATAGAATGTCAGGAATGCAGAGACTGGCTTGGCTTTGGGAGTAAATAATGGGTGCAGAGCTCCCTGTGACAATGAGGATGAGTCAGTACCAAGATGTTCTATTTAGAATCTGCTAGACCAGGCACTTGCAAGCATACCAAAGTAGTTGGGAGAACATTTTTATTGTTGAGTTGGCCTTTTGGTACTACTAGGACCTATGCAAAACTGTAGCGTAGGCATCTTATCTTTGGTGCCACCTTATCTTTATTTATGCAGCCTTCATTGGACTTCCTGATGATGTATTTATGTCACCCTCAAGCATCCAGTATCCTCATGCTGTCTTTTGGTGATAGAAGACTCTCACTGGGGTAGCACCACCCAGGTCTATTGGATTAAAACATTTATTTCTTCTTGAAATTTATTCTTAGCTAGTTATTGGGAATATTCTAATGATATAATTAAACATATTCTCAGTAAGTGGTGGTAGGCTTAAACATTTCTTTCTTGCCTTAGGAAAGATGATGAAATAAGCAAGTTGGCAATGTGGAAGTTTCCATAGTGTGTGGAGTGTAGTTTAACATGGCCTTTGAAGACACGGTGATACCAAATATAAATAAAGAAAAGTATTCTTAATGAAGCAATGTTTGGATTTTCAATTTACTCTTTTCCCCAACTGATAGATTTCTTCTGCTGAGTTGGTCATTTATTTTGTTTTCATGTGACCAAATATATAGAGGGCAAACCAGAGACAAAACACACATTTGGGACCTTTTTGCCAAAATCAGTTAGTTAGAAGTAGGTTATAGCTCATGGTATCAAAGCTCCAAATGAAAAGGCAAAGCTCAGCCTAATTCATTAGTGGTGGATGAGCATTATGATTACTGCAGATGGAGGAAAACTGGGTCCTGAAATGTTTGGGAATAACCATTGTTCCGGATTCCATTTCCTATAGTAATCCATTTGAGTGATGAAGAGTAGGTCATCATGAAATAAACATTAAAAAAAAGAAAAGTGAAAATGAGATGACTGTTAAATGTAAGCTAAACAGAAATGGCCAGAGCATTGAAGAAGTCACTCTGAGAAGTTAGTACAGTCAGTAGTCGAAGCTTAGTGTAAAAAGCCCAAAGATTATCCCATAATTGGATTACCTGATGCCAACGACATCAGCTTTTCAATCAGAAATGTAGTTAATTATTTCTGGTCCACCTGGTAAAAATGAATGCGTGTACAGAATTGTCTATATATTATCACTATCAGTTAGTCAGGAATAATTTATGAAGCTATTCCTAAAAAAAATTTACTTAGCTCCTAGTCTGACCTTTAACCTTTCTATAACCTAGCCTAGATGTCGTTTTCTATCCACATTGGTACTTCTATTCTTCAGCTCTCCTGAACTGTCATCGAAGTATACACGTCATACCTTTGCATCCCTGGTCCTTGATTCCTCTGTGTGTGATTCTTCTCTCTTCTCAGCCCATCTACATGTGGCCACAGCTACTTGATGTTCTAAGCTCAGCCCAAGCAGTACCTTTTCCTAGAGACATTCCCTTTGAAGATGAGTTAGTTTCTCTCCTATATCTTTGTCATCTTCCTTGTAGTTTGTAGTCTTTTTAGAAAATCTCCAATATAACTCCTTTTCACCTGATTATAATGGTGGATTTTATCTTTCTTCCTCACTAGACTGAGAACTATTTGAAGTCAAGTTCTGTCCCTTGTACATTTCTGTACCTCTAGCACTTAGTAGAGTGTCTTGCATATACATGAGGTTCAGTAAGGTGTATGAAAAGCATAAATATTTAAAAATTCGCATCTTTGAAGTCCTTGCTCAGATATTGACTCCTTCATGAAGCCTGCTTTGGTTCCTTCAGTGAAAGCAAACTCTCCCTCAATATAATTCTGGTAGCTTTTTCTGTACATCTTCTATAACAATTATCCTATCCCAGCATGTATTATAACTATTTAGGTTCATGCCTTATCTCACCTAACAGACTGTAAAGTTTTTAGAGGTAAGGTCCATGTTAAGCCCATTTTTATTAAACACTTTTTTCTCTATAGTGGTTACTATATTATCTTGAACAAAGTCAGTGTAAATATTGGGTTGAGTGTATTTTGTGTTCCAAATACTTTTGCTGAGGTGGCATGTTTAAGCAAAAGTACATTATGTTAAAAATCATTAAAGAATTTAAAATTTTAAAGTGTAAGTCAAAATTAAAAAGACTGTATAATATAAGCAGTTGAATCAAAAGCCTTTCAAATAAAATTCAGAAAGAAAAGAGTAATGTTTTTGAATGTTAATGTCTTGAATGTTGGTGTAGATGGCTAAGAATTGACTTTCCTAGGGATAGTATTAGACTTAAAAGAGAGGTGAATATACACGTATAAAAACAGAATGATTTGTCTGAAAGACCTACAATAAAGCCTGGAGCTAAGACAGTGTCTGTGGGAATAAAAAGAGGGACTTTGTGGGGGTAGAATGAACTGGATTTGTTCATTGACCACATACGGAAAAAAAAATCAGTGATGAATGAAATTTATAACCAAGGAAATTGAATGAATGCTGGCATTAACTGAGGAAAGAATAACAGGTCTTGGGAAGGGATAAGAAGAGATGACATATCTAATGTTGAGTTTGAGATGCCTGGTGGCAGAATGCAATGCTGTCAAGAAAGAAGCTGGAAATATGAATCTGGACATAAGAGGGAGATGGGAGACTGGAAGTATTTCCTATATGAGCTGAAGCTATGAGAATGGAGCTGTTTACTCATGGAAATAATGCAAAACAGGAAGATACAAGATACAACGCAGGACGCAGTCAAGTATAAAGGGCCAGTGAAAGATGAGAAGCCAAAGAAGGAGGCTGAGAGGGGACCAAAGAAGTTGGAGAGAGGGGTTTCATGCAGGGAAAGCTAAAGAGACTTCCGAATAAAAAGTAGTTTATAAATGAGGCCAAATACATAAACTATATAAACATTAATTAATTAATCAATAATTTAAACATAGCTCAATAATGTTTTCTTTCTAAAACTCAAATGAATCTGTTATCAATCATATCCATTCTGGGATACAAAATACCAACCGTGAAAGAACATTCGGGTGGCATGACATGTTTTGAGAATGAACATGGAATTATCACATAGGAATCATATGGTTCTCCCTGTTTTATGCTGGGAGACCTCCTGGAGAATGCAGCTTTCCTCTCCAATATTGTACTTTCATATTTTCTAGCTGCCTTGACGACAGATTTTCTTACTGTCCTGCAGCAAGTAATTCTGCCAAGTGGGACAGCCAGGTTAATATATGCTGCTGCTTGATTTAGAGAAGATTAGAAGCTAGGAGATCAAGAGGCCAAGATCAAAGGGAAGGGAAGGATCAAAAGGCCTTTTGCTGATAGAGTTGGAGGTGAAGCACTAGGGGTCCCTGCAGGGAGGTGTGTCCTCTGCAAGGAAGGGAGGGGACCCTCTCCTGCATGATTATTATTAGAACCAGATGTGTAGGGATGGGGCTAGGGATGCGGGGTCTGACCTGGCCGCTGTCTCAATTTGGGAGCCCTTCTGCTCTCCCAGGTTAGAGCCCAGAGTCTGGTCCCATTACCTGCTTGGACACACACCTCCTCTGGGCTCCTCCTCTGGGAGAGGGGATGGGGTTGTCCAGCATGTGACCAGCTCTGCTCCAGAAGAGCAGCCTGGCACCTTCTACTAAAATATTATTCTATAACATGATTTATGAAAATAATATAATATATAACACAATAGAAAATATTATAAATTTAATACAAGTCAAAATAAAATACAAAACAAAGCCAAATAAAGTAGGGCCTTCAAAGTCCATTAAATATAGGACTTAGGAGGTCATTTGGTGACCTTGATGGGAACAATGTGAGTGGGGTGATGGGGCAGAAATCAAGTTGAGGAATGGATAAGTAGTGAAAGGGAGATCACACAGTAGAGAGATGGTATGAAAAAGCAAAAATGAGACTGGCAACTTATGGTCACACTCCTCTGGGCAGTTACTTGAGGTCATAAACTTTAGTGTCCTCATTTGTAGAATGGGGTGATGCTATCAACCTTCCTTGGGAAGATTAAATGCGATTAAATATATGGCCTAGAAGAGTTCCTGGCCCATAAGTGTTCTCAGGAATGATTCGGTGTATTTAAAAAGTTGGAAATGGCAGCATGTTTGGGGGCACAGGGTAAGGAACATGGGAGGAGGGAAACATTTTATATATTCGTTCAAACATAGCTTGGATGTCA